ATTGAATCTGAACAAGACTCCCCGGATTGGCATATGTAATTGCTTGAAACAATTTAGGGAATTGATTATATGATGCCTCCCAATTACCGAATCTGCGCTCTAAAGCAATCAACCGCCCATACCAAGCCTTTTTGTATGAAACATAGATTTGGAATTTCTCATAAATGTCTAGAATTATGAGTTTGATTTTGTAGTCCGGATCTGCCTCCACTTTAGGACCTATCTCAGTTGCGATGAGCTTGCTTGTTAAGTTCTTATCATCCCGAGCTAAGGTGTAATCAGGCCTGCAGGTGTGGACGGGTTGGTATTTTTTCACCTTCCACACGAGTAAGTTTTGGTCTGCTCCTGCTTGGATATGCCACGAGCATTTGTCCGCCGGGTAGACACACACAACCTTCCATGACCTTGGACGTTTGTCAACCGACTGGAAAAATGACTTTTGACGAATGTTTGCTCGGGCCACAGCTTCTTTTAATTCGTCATAGGATTTGAATTTATCGCCGACTGCAATCGTTTCAGAAGCACGATTTACAATCTCGACATACGGTTCGTCAGCATCGACATACGGTTCGTGTAGCTTCAGAGTGGCCCATGTCGTATCTACTACCTCATTCCTATCATCTCCAGAGGATGATTCGGCATCACTACTATGTAGTTCAAAGTTGGGATCGTCCGAGTCTTCAGACAAGTTTGTGACTGCAGAAAGTAGATATACATCATGTATACAAATTTCAAAAATTGGAAATCATACATAAAAAAGTAGATTTACACATAAAAATATATTTACTCAAACCAGCAAAATGGGTGAAACCCGAGTTAATTTGAAACATAACACCCTTTCAAAGTACATGGTACCACTTACACAATGTCTAGAGACCTAATGTATTTTAAATTTTGTTAAAATCATTCTACCTTAATATTTTTTGTACTTTACTTTTATTGTATAATCACTATTATACTATCGTATTAAAAACAAGAAAAGTTTGTATTTAAAAATTTAATCATATATAATATTAAAAAAACTAATCATATATATATATATATATATATATATATATATATATATATATAATAGTCATGGATTATTTAATATTACACAAAGTTATTCGATGTGTTATTAATGAATATAATACGACAATATTATTTTCATCCATCTACACTACTAATTTCCATCTTTATTTCTACTAAACTAATGTCTATCGAAATTACTCCTCACAAATGGGCATACGTACTCTCCTTAGATATTACCCTAAATAGGATTAAATTAAAACTTAATTGCACACGGAGAGGTAGGTTTAATCCTTTGTTTTGAACCTTCCGCTGTAAAGACACGTTTATTTACTAGCTGTCTAGTAGACTCGATGTCCTTGTCGTTTATTTACTGGCTGTCTTTGTATTTTTAATCTAAAAATTTATGTGAAAAAAATTATCTGAAATATTCTTTGTACCGGCCCAACCCAACCTTCAATCCTAGCTACTCCCCTGGGTGGTTGCATATAGAACCACCCTATAAGATTTATTACGTGTCCATACTTCATATAGTTTGATGATCCATCTCATTTTAGCGCTGATATTGGACTAATCAGTTTCGACTTGGACTTACAATTAGAATTGACTTAATTTGGGTTTCCATTACATATAGCGTATTCGAGAGTTGGTATACTGCGGGAGCATTCCACAGTGAGCATTATACTTCCATTAGTAAAAACGTCATTTAACTTAATGTTTTACCTTAAAAAAACGCGGATGAAGAGTAACTATATAGATTTTGTCTCAGTATTTTTTCTGATGTAAATCTTGTGTATTGAAATGTAATTGTTGTTCCTGGAAATGTAATCTCAGTTATTGATAAATGTAACTCATGCATTGGAATGTAACTTTACTTCTCCAATGTTTATTCCTTTGCCTATCATATACGAAATGTAAATCGTGTATATTAAAATGTAACTTCAGACAAGTTGAGATGTAAATAGTGTTAATTGAAATGTAACTTGCTGAGTTAAATCAAAATGTAAAACACATTAACTGAAATGTAATTTGATGTACGCTCTGTTAGTTTATTCACGTATAATTCACGTATAATACACTCAAACGTATAATTCACGTATAATACTCCCGTTTATGAATTTTTCAAAAAATTCTGAAAAATTCACGTACTTTAAGGATAAAATGTATAATACGCGTACCGTACGTATTAATACGTATTTTATTCACGTATAATACTACCGTTAATGAATTCTTCAGAAAATTTTGAAAAACTCACGTACTTTAAGGATAAAAAGTATAATACACGTACTGTATGTATTGATACATATTTTATTCAAAAACACACACCATTAAACGAAATGCCTAGATGCTCAATACTATTTATATTGCCTAAAAAACTTTCTGTCTTATATATTCGTTAATTGTTTAATAGTCATTACATTTAATAAATTAGCTTCTTAAATTCGTAATCCGTTTCGATATTACTATTGTACTACTACTGTACTACTTTTGTTCTCCACCCATACCAAGATTCCAAAGAGATTGAAAAATGTTGTGGCGGCTCACCAAACTCACGATCACAGTAATATCAACTATTCTCTGTCTCTCTACTTCTACTCAAATAGGCAATATCATTTTATTACTAATTGTACCCATGCATTCAAATCCTTATATATGAAAAAACTATTTCGTACATGTTAAATTGTTGAAAAATGTGGTGAAAATGTTAAATAACTCTTTATTTCTATCATTAAATTAGTATATAAGACACATATTATATGCCGTATTTTTAAATTGTGAAACGTTTAGAACACGTCCGTATCTATATATATTTCACGAACGTATGAAACATATATTAAGCCGTATTTTATATAATTGTATCGTATTATACACGAACGTACGTATTATTGTATTATTCACGAACCATATATTACTAACAAAGGATGTACGTAGTAATGTAAGTTGTGTTAAAGGAAATGTAACTTAAGGCATATTAAAATGTAAATCATGTTCATGAACATGTAACTTTAGACCAATCAAAATGTAACTTGTCTAATACTCCATATAAGATATATGTATACATTAAAACAAACATTGATCTTGAAGTCTTTCAATTTTGCCCACATACATGCACTCCACATATAAATTATTTGGGTTTATGGCTCTTCCGAGTACCACAACATTCAAATATTGATGAAAAATATCAACACAGCAGAAAGTCAGAAACAATGCATAGCCACATTTGAATGTTCTCCTTCGACCTAGCTCTTTTTGTGAATCCAACATCAGTTTAACATAAGAAAGTCAGACAATTTATTTCAATCGTCCTAATTGCTACATCGGTGCAACCAATTTTAGGGCAGACGATTGCACGAAAGGCGGAGAAGATGAGGTCTGGAAACACTCCTTTCCTTAATGACGGCAGACCTACGACCGGACCGGAGAATTGGCGGCTGGGCGAGACTATATATAATGATTGTCCAACAGAATATCACTCTTGTGTGCGATGGCCTATGCAATGGGACGACGGCGGAGTACCATGGGAAAGGAATGATTCATGTGTGGGATATAAATGAAACAGAAGAGATGGTCCTGAGAGCTGGAGGACGGCGGAGTTCCATGGAAAAGGAATGAGGGATAGAGATATACAACGAAAGAGATAAAGTTCGAAGTTTTTTTTTAATACTATCGTATAAAATTGTACCGTTTTGGGATCGGTACACCGTGCTCACGGTATAACGATCCCACGGTATAATTTGCCTGTATTCGAGCATTCATACACACATTAGTTTATCATTTCACGGCATCTTGTAAATTACTTAAATTACTTAAGTTATACGAAGTATAATGAAGTACGTTATACAATTTACGTAGCCAGAAACTAAATTAAGGATATATTTAGGTCTAAGTTACTAAATTACCACGAAAAGGTAATAAAAGTAATGACCGAAATTACTCGTATTTAGAGAATGAAAATATAAAGTTCATATTTTGGACTCAAAACATTTTTGCTACAATATAAGACATACTAGTATTTTTTTGAATGGATATTTAAGACATCTTTAAAAAGTAGTATGTGTCCATAAGAAAGTAAAAATGTGAAATGGATATGATAGATAGAAATAAAGCTGGAAATAAAAAAGTTAATTTGAGTACTTTCGACTTAGAATAATATTTATATTTTTGGATAATCTGAAAATGGATTTGCTTTTTTTTTTTTACAAAATGGAATGGAACTATGCAAAGAGTATTAGTTATTAATGTTTAATCGGATTAGATTAATCAAACATTAATCCAAAGGAATACTACGGATACATAGGGAGTGTTTGCAACTGCTTCTGCTTAAAAAAAGCACTTTTGGAGATGTAATGAAAAAGTGATTAGTAGTAAAAGTTGATAGTGTTTGGGAAAAAGTGATTTTGAAAAGTAAAAGTTTGTAGTGTTTGGTAAAATAAGTACTTTTTGTGTAATAGAAAAGGGAAAAGCACTTTTCACACAAGCCGGGAAAAAGTAAAAATTGGAAGTGTTTGGTAAATAAGTGTTTTTTTAAACCAAAAGCTGAGAAGTGTTTTTTTTTAAGCTATTGCAAACACTCCCGTAGTATTAGGCTGACTCAATGAGTAAGACGTATAGTAGACTAGCTGGTAGTACTCTATATAAATCCTCGGTTGAATTCAATTAGTAAAGGTGACACATTCGAGAAATTAAAGCAAGTATAAACATACCGGTTCACTTTGACAGTATTAAATCGTATCAAATTTAACTGAAAACCCAATCGCATTTCTACCAAAATGTATTTAAGTCAATCGCATCGAAACTGAAAAACCCTAATAAAGTCAAACCAAATTAAGAAAATTCCAGGTAGTATAAAATTTCAATATATTATCAAAAAATAACAAATTCAAACCAAAACAATTCAAATCGAAAGATAGTATGATTTTTGTTTGATAACCGTTTTACCAAATCAATTTCAAATTGAATCGAAATCAATATGCCTACCCATACAACCAAGGTTAACAAAGAGAACAATAAAAGACAGAAGCATTGAATCCGCATTGTTTATGCATAGTTTGTTACTCCATATTAAGTCAGCTTGCTGAAACTCAAGTCTACCTAAATACGGGTCGTTGCATAGCCAGTTTCCATAAACGGGATAACCCTTATTTTGGTAGACTTGACGGCCAATGAGCCCGGTAACACAACCTAATAAGCGTCTTAATGATAAGTAAATTAAATTAAATCAAATTACAAAGAGAAGTTCCACATTCAAGTTTCAATTATTCCTACGTATTTTCTAGTTTCATTAATCTTATTAACAAGTGGGATCTTCACATATTGTGCCTTTCACAGCAGGGGCTGAAGATGACATGGTGGGAGAGAAGGGGCCGCCGCCATTGGTGGCAGCTCCGGGCGGTGAGTTCTTGGCAATGAGGTTCGGCCTGGCGGAGGTGGAAATGGAACCGGCCAAGGAGATGGGCATGAGGCAGAGGCCTTTACCTTGGAGGTATTGCATGGCGGTGCTCATATCATCTTCCATGAGCTTCGCCACCTGCTGCTCCGTCAATCTCATTGTGTCGCTGTTGTTGGATGATGATGATGCCGCCTTTGGATTCCCGCTTCTCGCGCTTCCTTCTGTACAATCTCTAGCTCCCTATGATTCATTGCATTAGATTAGTGGTGCATTTGTAAACAAAACTCATCTAATAACACATTAATGATACATTAATACTCCCTCCGTCCAAGAAGTTCTCAGTCACTCATAATCCTTTACTTTATATATCAAATTTTTATCAAACTTAAATTTTCTTGAACAGGCTTTGTAGCGGTTTTAATGTAGTTTCTGAATATGTAAATTTTATTTACTAAAAATAATCCAAGAATAAACAGGGATTGAGTTACTTTATCGTCAGTCAAGCATCATAAACCAAACGAGAACTTCTTTCGGAAGACGGAAGACGGAGGGAATACTATTTCCCCGTGTTTCTAAGCAGTACCACGGTGACTGTAGTCATCATATCATCTTTTGGACTTATCAATTTCGTCTACAATTTTTTTAACAAACATGTACGAGTAATTTTTTAATATACTCACTATAATAAAGTATTACTTCCGTTCTTAAATAAATACAACAATTTGACTTTTACACAATTCTCATGTTCTACTTTGACTACGTTTTATTTATTAATGTAATAATGTTATTTTATGAAAAAAATATTGTTAAACTTGTCATATTGTAAATTTTCATAATCTAATTTTTTAAATTTTTTACTAATACAAAATCATTTATATTAATGGTCAAACTTGTGTCTCAGCAAATGTGAAATGTTGACCGTTACATTTATTTAAGAACGGAGGAAGTAATAAAATTGAATTTGTTGAAGAATTATATTTTTACTATTAGTCCGTATTAGGATGTTTTCTTTTGTACTGTTTTCAGTCTTACAATAGACTAGATCAGACTTTCATAGTTATAAATATATAGAGATCAGTCGTTTACCAGACCAAACCAAATCAGTTCAGACCTGGCCAGACCAGCAAATTTAAATCCAAAAGAAAACATTCTTACCTAAGGAAATTAATTTTCCTACTACTCCGTATAATTTATTCACAAATTTTATTAATCTTTAAATATTTCTCTATAGTTAATAGTTCAATAGTTTTAGTAAATTCAATTACTTCGATCACAATTTCAGAAAAATTTAATAAGATTCAATCAGTTCAACCAGTTCAATAGCAAATGGATTTTCATTGAATTGCTTTAAAAGTCACAAAAGGAAATTACGATAATCCAGGGAACTGTACCTCGGAAGACATAATAGCCAGCAGGGGAGCAGCAGCTGCGGCACCGCCCAATCTGCTCACACTGAGAACCTGAGTCCCTCATAAATGACAGCCACCGCTTTAGAGCATCCCGTTCAATGAAAAAGTGAAAATAACTAATGTAATTGCGGTATAGTCCTCTTATGAAATTTAAACTTTACTACTCCGTAATAAAATGTGCTGGTTCATTTTCCTAGTATTAAAAAATATTTAATTCATTATATTTAGTCATGTTTATTACCTGATACATTATTATTTATCAGGAATTGCCCTAAATAGGACTTAAAACATTTTGAAATTCCAAAATAGGAGTATCATGTTTTTGTTCTCTTAATAGGAGTATTCTGCCAAATTTGGAAAAAAAATATCATGTTTAAATCCTTGTAATGCCAAACTTGGCAAAAATTTACTCCTATTCAGGGAATAAAAAACATGACATTCCTGTTTTGAAATTTCAAAACGTTTTTACATTTAGTGAATTCTCTATATACATGCATACAACATACATGCTACGTACACACACAACACAGTCAGACACATACACATGTGATTTTTCATTCCAGATTTTAATAAATAAAAATATTTATATTGGAATAATTACATATTCCGGAATTTAATTATACCTATTTCTACGCGCTCCATAAAGTTAAACCTTTTTATTAAAAATGTTACGTAGTAGTTCTTAAGGTAGTGTATAGCAAATATTAAAGTAATTATAGAAATTACTTCAAATAGGACTAAAACTATGCCAAAAACTCAAAATAGGACTTGCTATGTTTTTTATTCCAAAATAGAATCATAGTGGTCCTATTGGAAACATACTCATTTCTTCCTTCCATTCTTACCCCTCCTTTAAATACTAGTAAAAGATAGCTAAAAGTCATAATTAAATGTTTAATTCATAATAAATTCGAAAAAAATTCAATAATTTGTCGAAAAATAAAAAAAATTAATAAATTTTATAAAATAAAAAATAAGAATTTTTTTTAATTTTTTTTTTGAAAATTAATAAAAAAAAGTAAAACTCCATAAAAAAAATTAAAAAAAATATGGATACCTTTCCCACCGCCTGTACTACCTCCCTGAACCACCACCTCCAATCGGTGTAAAAAATGCCACTTTTTTTTTAAATTCCACAAAAATGGCATATTTCTCTATGAGAATGCCAACATTTTCATTCTGTCAACTTGAATCCTTTTGACTTTTGCCAAAAATATGGCATTCATAATTTTTTTGGCATTTTTTACCCCGGTGACAGGAGGTGGTGGTACCGCCTCCCTGCACCACCACCTCCGACTGTTAAAAAAAATGCCATATTTCCTACAAACTTCCATTTTTTTCGGAAAATGCCAAAAATATGGCATATATCTCTTTGAGAATGCCAACATTTTTTTCCTTCCATCTTAAATCATTCTGAATTATGCCAAAAATATGGAATTCATAATAAATTTGGCATTTTTTCCCCAAATGACTAGAGGTGGTGGTGCTGGGGCGGCAGAGGCGGCGGTGACAAAAAGATTTTTTTTTTGATTTTTTTTAAATTTTTATTTATTTTTTATTTATTTTTTTTGAATTTTTTTTCTAAAATTTATCATTATTCAAAATATTTTTATTAATTTTTTGGTATATTTTACGAATTTTTATTATTTTTTATTATTTTATTATGAATTAAAACATTCCAATAGGTATAAGGGTATTTTTGTCCAAGACACACATAATTAGTACCATGGAAACATAGTTTATTTTTTGGTCCTATTTGTGCAAAGTGAATGACTTTTAATCCTATTTTGATAATTAACTCAAGTAATTACAGTTCATTACTATTACAGAGTGTAAAATTAAAAAATTACATGTAGTATATAGCAAGTATTAAAGTAATGGGAAAGTTTCCAAAATAGGACTAAAAAAGTTGGAAAATTCCAAAATAGGACTGCCATGTTTTTATTCCCAAAATAGGACTAATTATTGCCAAATTTGGAAAATACTGCCATGTTTGATGTCTGGTACTGCCAAAACATGGTAGTAATTAATCCTATTTTGGAAATATAAACATGAAAGTCCTATTTTGGAATTTGCAAACTTTTTTAGTCCTATTTTGGGTAATATTTCTTCTTAGTATCTTTTAATGTTTAAAGTTACAAACTTGATGACATGCATGAGGCATCCCATATGAGAAACTTTTGATGATCCACCGAAACCACGTTATATCAACATTGCATTCCAATTATAATCCCACCTTTAATAAAACAAAAAAAATAAAAAAATAAAAAGAGATGGAAATCATACCTTGACCTGGAGCTGGAGGAATTTGACATAGTCGATGATCTCATCGAGCATTGAAGCCTTGTCCGTCTGTCATTTCAAAACCCCAGCCTCATCCACGTTAGTTGTCCGTTTAAATAAAAAATACTCAATATTGTGACCTAATTCTAAAATAAGCGGTCATTGTACATAGAAATCATCCTGAATAAGATTAAAATAAAATAGCATTCTGAAATAAGAGTATTATTACACTTATTTCTAACAATGAGTAATCACTAATGTAACTTGTTTAGTAAATTTGTCGATTGTGACATTATTACCTTCATATCAATGTCTAATAATACAAAACATACTATTGTGAATTTAAAATAACAGTAACTTACTCATAATTAGAACAAATAGAATGGTCATATTTAGAAATCCATCATTTCTTTTGCTTGTTTTTTCAGATATTTCCTTAATCCTTATCTTCCTCATATTGTTTATTTCGACTTCATTGAGTTCCAAAAACGCATACCCGGCCAAGTAAATATTACATAACTCGAAATTATTTTTAATTAACTTATTTTTATAATATTTGTTTCATAATGAGTGCATGTGTTATGTGTATACTCCATAGCCATGAATCCCATGATATCAAATCCCAAAAACTCCTCTGAACGGGGAAAACGTACACGTAGTGTATACACAAAAAATACCATGTAAATGATTTTCGCAACGTCTGCTGGTTGGCACACCACATAATAAATGTGGTCAAATTATTTCATTTTAAAGTGTATATAATTACCCGCAGGGGTGGAGACAGGGGGTGGCTGGCGGTGGCCGTGGCCCCTGCAAGAATTTTTTTTTGATGTATAAATATAGTAAAAAATATTTATAAGTAGTAAAAAATATAGTGAAAATTTAAGTATTGGCCCCGGCTATATAAATTCCTTAAGCCCCGGCCCCTGTAACTTGACATTCCTGGCTCCGCCACTAATTACCCGTCAAAGTTATACTAACCGTCAAACACAAACACAATTTTAGATAACTATAACTCAACAACTAATAAATACTGAAATACTATCGTACATAATATTTAATTCTTACCACGTGTCCAGAGAACATACACTAGATAAACTTTAAAATAAAATAGGGATAAAATATGATAGTATAACCAAATTAAAGTCGTATTATACCTATATCATACATGTATTGTCGCTTACCATTTGATAAATAACAATTCTTCATCTGTGCTTTAGACGCATCCATGTTTTTATACCCGTACTATAATATTTTTGCGTATCCGTTTTTCAAAAACAAGAATTTATGAGGGTGCATTTTCCTGTTTGTGGGGCTTCCCCAGGTAACTACTACGTTTATTATACACGGAGTATAGACACGTGTTGTGAGGCCAGCCGACCACATGATAAAATAACAAAATGGCAAATATACCCAATTGTTAATTTGTCATATACTCCCGTAGAAAGCAGTTACAATTCAACTTAGGATTATAATAAGAAAATGAAAAATACAGGGACTTTCTTAAATTGAAGCTCATTTTCAAAAAATTTACAACTTTTATAAAGATAAAAATATGATTGTCAACGGTTATATTTTAAAAAAATATCATATCACTGTAAGATTTTAAGATCGTTATAAAAATTTCATATCATTAACAAATGTTCCTGTCCGAATTATAAGATTTTCATATCACTACAAGATTTTAATATCATAATGGATGTGACTATTAGACTTTCATATTACTGTCGTCGGAAAACATGTCACTCCAATCGTCGACAAATATGTTTCCATTACTTTTCTAACTAAATTTTAAAAAAAACTAAAAAATGAAACAAAAATACAAAACTTTACGATAGCAGTTCTCGATAGCGGAAGGGCAGGTGTGGGGGGTTGGGACAAAGATTTGATATAAAACTATAATGAGAGCAAAATTGGATTAATTAAACAAAAGGTTAGCAATATTTCTCAAAAAGGAAAACTAATCACATTTTGTATTTGATAGAGCTATGAGGAATATTTGTGTCTTTTTTCTAACAACATGTTATCAAAATTAGTGTAGTGGGTAGAAATGTAAATTTTTATTATCTTGTCCTATAGAAAGTTTTTACATTTTTATCATCAATAAATGTATGTTATTACTTTGATGTTTTTATTAATAACGAAATATGAATAGTATTAAAACTAAGCAAGAGTATGATTGGAAAGGTAATCTTATATAGGGAATTTGAAAATTATATTCTTATTTTTGCAATTAAAGATTCATTTAGTCCTATTTGGGATATTTTCCTTTTGAAAAACCAACAAGTCAATATTTTTAAAATTTGCATCATAAAAAATTAGTTATTTTCTTTCAAAAAATTGTTATTTCAAAAGCATAAATTCGAATGAATTTGAAAAAAATAGTTAAACCCGTTATAATTCGAGTTGAAACTTCAAAATAACTAAGGTGGCAAGTGAAATTACCTTATTAGCATTAGGAACCAGCTCCTGCAGCGACTTCATTCTCTCCGCAATCCTCTCTCTTCGTAACTGACATCCCCACATTTTGTTTCACAGATAGGAAAGCAAAACAGATACCGCCAAAATCGGAATCAGAAAACGAACACTTTAATCAGAACAAAATTAAATGAAACCAATAAATAAAATTGGGAATATTCTCTGGCACTGTGAAGATTTCATCAGTACGTACTCTTTCAGCGATGCTGTGCGGATCGGTGGCTTGTCCTCTTCGAGCCCTCACTCGCGGCTGTTTCGGCTGAGCTGGCGGTGGTCCTCCTCCCGTCGCTACGCTGCCGGTGGAGGCTAGTCCCTGGCTCATCGGTGGAACTCCATGATTCGGATCCGGATACAATTTCGGATCATTATGATGAACATGATGAAGGTCAGACGAGGGTAGAGCAATAGATCCGTTGAATAGAGCTTCATATTTGGTGTCATTTGCCTGCAATTACTCGTGATTAATGCGATTTCTAACTTGAATGGATATAATCATGCATTTACTTTATCATTGAATCATTGACGAACAACAAAATACTTACCGATAGTAAAATGCCGTCGTTTTGGTCGTCATCGATAACATTCAACTGCTCCTCGAGGAGAACATTAGGAGACCTAAATCCGGTCTCGGTAAATCCTCTATTGAGCGAAAAGTGCCTGTGGAACATAAGCGCCGCCTTAGATTCGCCGGCGGAGACTCCTCCCTCACCGCCGTTGTTATGGAGCCTGGAAGCCAAGTGAACCGACGATCGGTTTTCAAAATTGTATGCCTCGTCGTCAACGGCGGAGTCGAGGTTACACACCGGCAGCGGAGAGAGGAAGTGATGAGAGTCATGAGACGGTTGCCAGTGGGACTGCTGAGATTTGGAGAAGTCCGGCCAGGAAGAAGAGGATGGGACGGAGGATATAACCTGGTCAAGTAAGCCGTCGGAAGACGGCAGTAGATCGAAGTCGGAAAGAGAAATGTGGTGCTGCATGTGTTCATAGCCGCCATTGCCGGCGCCGTTTTGGAGGTCCTGAATCGAGTTGGTTTCCTTCATTTCTTCTTCAGCTGTTTACCGGAGAAGAAGAAGATTCAAACTAAAAACAAGAGAAAATACTGTACAATAATAGAGGAACTTAGAATCAAAAGAGAGAAATCTAACCCTTATTGCAGATATATCAGAAGGCTTAGGAAATCCTTATCCCGAAAATCGAGTTGTGCTTCGATTCGTAGTCAGTATTCAGTCGTTCTTTCGTTTTTCCAATGTTCCGTCGAGGCGTCGACCGCGTCTCTAACCTCTATTTCACTATTCAATTATAACGGGGCAAATGGGTGGGTTGTATTCTGTCAAGTCTTAATATTACTGACTCTTTTGGGTCATTACCTTTTCTGGTCCAGTGACAATGGACTGGATATTCATGTCGTGGCCCGGCCTTGATGCGAGAGAAAGTGGAACACCAATCCGTGTAAAACGGGATAGATTGTTATAGAGTTTTTTGTTTGCCATATTATGATACTCTTTTAATCCAGAATCTCTAGGGGCGGAGCCAGAGCATTGGGTCGGACTGGGCTAGTACAAAAAATATTTATTAAAAAAAATTTACACGAAATTTTTTACCTTAAAAATAAAGCCTTTTTTTTTTAAATTTGGGGTGGGTCAGGGCCTAGGTTGGCCCACCCCTAGCTCCGCCCATGAGAATCTCAAATGTAAGTTTATTACTACCTCCGTCCAGCTAAGTTTGGGACAGGAGAAGGTGACACGGTTATTAATAAAAGTGGATTTATGTGGTTGATATTGAATTGATAAAGTAAGAATAAAGTAGGAATGATTTAAAACCACACAAACTACCGGATCACATCAGATGAGTGTTATTTATAAGCTCGCGGTCTAAATGTCATATACTGCATACTTTCGTTCTTGTGTTTTGTATGAGTCATGTGTGCTCTTTTATTTAGGCATCATATTCCGACCTCGGGGGGCTAGTCATCCCGAATATCAGATTCAAACTACGAACCCCGAGTAACGATTTGAGGCCTAGATATGGGCTACCACACTCTACTAAGCGTAGAATCTGGATTGAAAATTGGATGCCATTTGCCTAGGCTCAAGTCCAATAGCGAACTCCACAAAGTATCATAATTTTATTTCAATGCATAGGTACATCCGGATGAGGACTATCATATTGATCTCTCAAGCTTGTCTCAGCTATCAACCAGACGAAGGATTAACGAGGAAGCCATAACAGCCTGAACAGGGAGATCTTAATCCACTACGAGGATGGCCACGCCTGAGCCGACCTGGACAGCAGGCGGCAGGCGGCACGCCTAATGGTCAGCCTGTGGAGGTCGGACTCTCCCTAGGGCTCAAGAAAGAGTCACAAAGGTTCAAACAGGGGGATCTGGGTCCATCATGAGGTCAACCGCACCAGAGCCAACCTGGACAGCAGGCGCCAACCAGGCTAAGTAGAAATCCCTTGGAGATCGGACTCTTCCTAGAACTTACGTGGCCGTAGTTCCGTAACGAACGAACATAAGTGGCATCAGAAGAGTCATGAGCACAAAGGAGGTCAGAGTCGATCCGTCCCGGCCAGAACGTCGGGTTAAAGTCGGTGCAGGACTCCAGACCGACCTAAAAGCAAAGATAGTCCAAGTCTTGATGGAGTACGAGAAGATCTTTGCTTGGGGACCTGAAGAGATGACAGGGCTAAGAACAAATCAACTGTTCCAGATGGACCATTATCTGGCCAACCTGAATTCCGAGTCATCACGGTCCTGAATTGCGCGGCGAGGCAGGGCTTAATCACAATCCCCGAGGGATGTAACGTCGTCAACGGTCAATCTTCCAAGGGTAAGTTCTGTAAAATTCATAAGAGTGATACCCATGAGACCGACGAATGTTACATCCTAAAAAGGTATGTGGAAAGCTCACCCGCGAAGGAAAATTAGATCAATTTGTAAAGAAACTCCGACAGAATCAAGATCCCTAAAAGAAGAACACCTGGAATAGGGGAAAAGACGAGCCAGCCTCGGCTTCCAAGAAAAGAGAGGTTGGAGCCCAGTTTGAGGAAGATGAAGAAGGGAAAGATTCAGGCCGGTAGAAACGCCCACATGTCAACCAGATCTACGGCGGACCTATAGGAAGAGACACGGTGGTGGGAAGAAAAAGGTGGAATCGCCAGCTCTTCATCGGAGAAATCAACCGCTTTCCTGCTGATAAAAGCAAAAGAGGGAATCCATTATCTTCACCAACGACGACTTGCCACCGTGCGCTCCACCTCATAGGGATGCACTGGTGGTCAAGATGGACCAATCTCAATCGATAAACCGCTTGTGTTGAGGTTATCAATCTCAATCGTTTTCATCTTAATTTTATTACTACTATCGGGTGAATATACGGCGCGTGTTCTATATTGACTCGATAGTAAGTTTCATTAATGAACGCGTCTCGTTGTTAATAACTACCCTCGATGAATTGGATATACTCCTCGATTGAGTATTCGAGAGGAAGATAGTTAAAGATATAACCGGGATCGACGAACATTTCATTAAGTGGATAAAAGCAAAGCCAAGTCTCCTTCTCATTTATTAAACCCCATAAGTCGTTCATCTTCGTGTTTAAATATAATTTAAGTTCATCAACCAATCTAAAAAAAACCTTGTTACTTATTTCCAGTTTTATAAAAAGAGAAGTATTACTTTCCCTGTGGATACGAACCTTACTTCGTTATACTACGTATAATTGGTGTATTGATATTTATTTTGACTGCACACCACGACAAAGTGCACGTCAAATTTCAAGAATGAGAAAGGAATCAAATTACTCCTCTAAAAACTAGCCCTGCTGATTTTAAGGAGTAGGGGGCTCGTGATGGTATCATGGACTCTGACCATGGCCCAATTACATAATCCAGCCCATAACGGGATCAGCCCTCTACGGGATTAGCCTAATTAACAGGATTAGCCCTCAACGGGATCAACCCTCAACGGGATTAGCCTAATTAACAGGAACAGCCCTCAACGGGATCAGCCCATCAACAGGGTCATATAATAAAGAGCCGATGCGCCCAGTTAGGATTCAATCCCACGACAGGAACCCACAGCCAGGCTGGGTTGGACAGCAGACCTCGAGCCTGGGCGGAGTTCTAGTGAGGCCGGGATATTCCTAAGGTTTACGTGGCAGGCTATTATTCGTACATTACCATTTGGCAACAGGCGGGACTCGACCGAAGTTTAGAAACAAGGAGACAATTAATGCTTGATGTCCAAGGCATGATAGGAGTTCTATTTTGAACAAGAATATAGTTCATTAATTAGCATTTATTGTATGAGATTCCTTCTAAAATAATGGGGGTGTTTGGTTTGCAGCCTATCAGCCAGTTTTTGCTGATTTGACTAATATTTGGCTTTTTGACCAAATTAATCAGCTATTAAGGTGTTTGGTTAGATGACATTTTCATTTGACTTTTTATTCCAAACAGCCAAATTCTCAAAAGCTATAAAACCTTGCGTTTTATGAGTAGCCTTTTCTCATCTTTCCATGTATTCCTTTATTACTCACTGTTCACATTTCCTTCTTTTACGTATCTGCTCCGTTCCACACTCCAATGAGAAAAATAAAAACTGCAAAAGCAACAATGAAGAGAAAAACAACGTAACAATGAAGACAACAAGTGTCCATGAGATTATTTTTTTAGCGTAACAATGCTGGTCACCAAAGATAACTGCTTACCTACACAGAATATAAACACTCAAAAAAAAGTGTATAGAAAAAAGCATCAACGGTCACATCTGATGAAGACTTGATCTCAATCACGAATGGAGTTCTATCAATATGACTGAGCTCTTAGAGATTTTAGGGAGGGGTTTTTTCGTTAATTGGGTTGGGTATTTTAGATCTTTCACTCTTATTTTTCATTATTTTCTTATTTCTGTGATGTAATGTTTTTCTTACTCGTTTTTAATAAAAATTGTTGCTTAAAAAAGAATTTTTTTTTAGCTTTTTCTTCAATTTTGCTTCGTCTTGTGTATTAATATACTAGTACATAGTATATACTACGTACCACATAATTTTCTATGTTAGAATAATAATAATAATAATAATAATAATAATAATAATAATAATAATAATAATAATAATAATAATAATATTATTAATAATAATAATAATAATAATAAAAATAATAATAATAATAATAATAATAATAATAATAATAATAATAATAATAATAATAATAATAATAATAATAATAATAATAATAATAATAATAATAATAATAATAATAATAATAATAATAATAATAATAATAATAATAATAATAATAATAATAATAATAATAATAATAATAATAATAATAATAATAATAATAATAATAATAATAATAATAATAATAATAATAATAATAATAATAATAATAATAATAATAATAATAATAATAATAATAATAATAATAATAATAATAATAATAATAATAATAATAATAATAATAATAATAATAATAATAATAATAATAATAATAATAATAATAATAATAATAATAATAATAATAATAATAATAATAATAATAATAATAATAATAATAATAATAATAATAATAATAATAATAATAATAATAATAATAATAATAATAATAATAATAATAATAAACTGAAACATGCTTTAGACTTTCTTTTGGCCATTCCTGCTGAAGGTTTAGGACAAACTATTAGTCCTAGACAATTTACTGCTGTTCTGGCTTATAGGCTTGGTATTCCTCTTTTTCAAGAAGGTTCTATTTGTTCTTGTTGCCTTGGAAATATGGATATCTGGGGGGATCATGCACTCCATTGTTCCAGTTTGCTTGGTCCCAAATTTAGGCATAATCTTGTTCGTGATATAGTTGCTGACATGTGTTTTCGGGCTGGTATTGCACACAGAATTGAGGCTCCCTTGGGATTTCTTACGCAGCAAGGTTTGGGGGCAAAACCAGCTGATATTCTATTATATGGGTGGGATAAAGGTGTGGATACCTGCTTGGATGTCACAATTTTGTCCCCCTTTGCTGGAGACGTGAACCTGGATCATTTCAAAACTGGGTATGCGCTTGCAAAGGCTGTAGAGAGGAAGCAGCACAAGTATGATAATATTTGTAAAACTAATGGGTACAGTTTTAGCACCTTAGGCTTTACAACCTTGGGGGAGATTGGAGCAGAGGCTGTTTTGTTTCTAAAGCGTGTCAAGAATCACATTTTTAGACATGATGCTACTTTAAAAGTTGGCAATTTTCTTTTTATTAGGATAGGCTTAGCTATTCAGAAAGGTGTTGGAGCTCAACTTGTTGCGAGTCTC